CGTTTGCTGATTCACAACTTGATTCGTTATGAACTTTGTCACTGTATATGCCTTTACTGTCGTTGCAGATGACTCGGTGAAGGTCAAATTCTACTCCTGCCTTCATTGTTTTCCGCATAACTAGTTATTTATCATCACTTGGGACTTCATTATACAGGTAGGCCGCTATCATGACAGCTAGCCCTGCGTGCTAGGTCAACGTGGCAGCGATTTGGCCACTAACAAATGCCACCGCTTGTTAACACCTTTGCGGTATCGAAAGACTTTCTGCATCGCTGCATTCACATCCAACACCATACATTAACGGATTCGGCAGGCCATTTTCGAAGTTAAATGCATCAGGTGTTGATCAGCGACAAATGACAAGCACCACGTCGATATTTAGGCGAAATGAATCATGGTCATTAAAACTGACTATTTTCTAGAGGGTCACGAACCTTCATCTTCGCATGGTGACAGTCGAATGAGCATCTTGTAGTAAAGCCCGGTTTTATAGGGGCAGGTTAATGGTTTCCGTCACTTCCATGGCATTACAGAGATAGCGCTGGAATGGATAGCATCGCCGTCTCTCAGGACCCATAGTTGCTGCATAATCACCTTAAAGAAGGCATGGTTGTTGCGACTGTCAATGTTATTGGCTTCATCAGCAAGGAAGGAGCTCTTGTTCATGACGTACACTCTTGATCTTCACCAGGAAAAAACGTGGCGAAGCAGGCGTCATTACCTGACCATGACGACGTGAAGAAAAATGCGTACAGTTTTCTCGTGAAAGCGGTCAATAAGATTCATCGCAAGGACTGGCAACGGTGGCTGGACTTCGAAGCGGTAAAAGTATCTCTGAAAGGGGAAGTGTAAGATGCTGCATAGCCATGTTAGTACCATCACCACGATAGCAAACACCATCATTCCACCAGCTTGTTACACCCTAAGTGCAATGAACCGCTGCAAGTCACTGATGATCGGCGGAAACGATTGGTTGAGCGCTTCACAGAGCTGATTAGTAGACATGGCCCAGCGGTAGATCTTGAAATGTAACAGGGTTGCAGACAGGACCTGAATATTAACTGCACCCATCGAAAAAATCTGAAAAGCGATGCATCGTTAAGTTTTGCGGACGCCATAAGATTGGGGCGGAAATGTTGCGGTGTAGCGATAAAAACCCTTTAGTTAGTTCCGCCTGGCTGGTTTCGATAGATAGTATCAGACGGAAGTTTCTGATTTCCGACGACTTGAAGAAATGCGTATTTGTTCTTTTTTTCTAGTTCTGGAGTTACGCCGATTGTATCAGTCATCGATGAATCATCTTTTTGTTTGGGCTGGGAACGGTATAGGCCGTAGTTGACTTCCTGCGAACACATCACGCAGTCTTTATGATCGGACACTGGATCGGACACTGATCGAACCAGTCTTCAGGATCGGACACTGGTGCATAGAGAACATTTATATGTTTAGGCTAATCATTGAGCAGTGCAGGCACTACCCAATGCCCTGCCATGTAACGTTTTTGAATTCCCGAGCAGCCTCGTTTCATTGTCTTGCCAAATAATGTGCACTGCCTTTTTCACCATTAGCAGTGGAGTTCGCCAACATTACGTGTTCTTTCGTTTGCCGTTTAACATCATACCGGATTATGTAGTGCGGAAAACCACAAAATGACAACGCAGCTCTGACGTCCGTTATCTTGAAGTAGTTCAAGATGCCATGCAGAGTTCGAATGTGCCTTAAGTGCGCCGATGGCTTCGTACTGCTGAGTGACTCAGATGGTGGCAGAGTGTCACTCACCGAAGCCATGCGCAATACGGCTGTGGGAATGAGATTGTAGTTTAGTGCCAAGAAGACGGAAATTGTTTGAATGCCCATCGCGATCGTCAGCCAGTGATACTAAGAGATGGTATTGCGATGGAAAAGTTGGACTCTTTAAAATAATCTGCAATTGTCTTGCCTGACGTTGCAGCATCAGTCCTTGATTCAACCGGCACATAAGGCTGTCATCATATTTCGAAAGGCTGAATAAAATATGTAGGGTCGAACTGTAGGAACTGATAAAAAGATTGCGAAGCAGCCATTTTGGCGTACTCATGTACTGCCCCGAAATATGCTTCCTGGTGTCACGGGTCTTGTATAGACAGCGGCCAACAACGCTAGTGTAATCCTCACAGTGCGATGGCACTATCGGGTCACGAATGAGCAGGTTGTGGCAACCATTGATCTGAGAAAATTATCAAATGACTCAGAGTCCGGCGCCTGGCTTGTTTCATAAAACGGCCCAAAATGGAATGGAAATATATTTACAATTTTTCTCTCTTCGGAACCACGCACTGGCCGCATGCGCCTTGAAGAACAGTACTAACAAAACGTAGAAACACTGCGTTGAGACGCCGTCCTTTAATACGTGAAGGAATATGACTTTTCCTGCAGGAGTGAAGCCTACCTAGTATCACGCTAAAGTATAATTTGTAACTGTCAAACGTAATAAATCTTGGTTACTCTACTGATTAAGTTCTGGTAGCCTCAGAAAACAATGAGAAAACACGGCAAATGGTTTGCTGAAAAAGACTGCGCTGTATTCTCGAGCGTTTGCTTTAACATTTTTCATCATGTTTAGTAAAAGCATAAAAGTTAGATATTATTCACTAGTTAGCTGTTGAAGCTTGCATAATAGTTCTAAAGTGATTGACTTTAAATATTGCGGTATTTTTTGCAGTAGTTTGCCACAGTGCGTTTAAGTAGTTCTAGTAGTTTATTGTTGTTAACAATTTTTGAAATGCTTCTTTCAGGGACTGGTGTATATCTCGACAACTTTGGTGGGGCCACAGAATCCCGGCTTATTTTATTACAGTTAAAGGAGAGAAAGAAGTGGATGTAATGTTATATAATTTGGACCTTATGCATATGAGTGCCTTATTTCAGGATAGCTGTGACGATTATTGGGTTTCTGCACTGTCTGAGCAGGAGGCGATTATCAAAGCTTGCAAAAAACTGAACCTTCCTGCAGAGCGGATTCATCTACGACAAGGTGATTTTATCTTAGACTTTTACTGGTTTTTCTTCAATTCTTGTCTTTGATGTGATTAATCTTTTCTTAACGACTTTTGCGGTTAAATCAGAGCTGTGCCTTAAACATGCCACTTAGGGCTGTTTCAAAAGCACCAAAAATTTCTAGCGGTAGTCTAAGCATTGCATTTCGTTTGTAGCGACGTATTCCGTTTTCCATGACATGGTTATTGCTTACACATAAGCGTTTAGCTGAGTCAGGGAATTTATGTTTACGCATATGATGTACAAATCTACCTGGACCTACGATCACTTGGATACGCTGTGTCAGGGGGTTGTATGCTAACATTGCGAAGCTTAACTCGGTATCCACTCAAATCACCATGGTCTGCCCTCGATCATGCTGACGCTTAAGTGAGGCCTGGCTTTGGCTGCATACAACGCTAGTTTCTGCGTTCTGTGTGATGGCGACGAGTTTAGGTATGATGCTGCATCACGATCTGTTTTTCGCCGCCACCTTACAGTGGTGTTCTTTGAAAGTAGAAGTCCAGTATCAAGTAATACTAAGATATTTTGGATATTAATTTCATCTCCGCTGGTATCCACGGAGCGATACGTGGTTTCCTCTTAGCCCTTTAGTGATCGAATTCTTATGCCGACACGGCGGTTTTGCTAGAGTCTAGAGTTTGTTTTTAATTGCTGCCAGTGACGGTTATCTTTCCTGATGATCAGGTTCAGATTTCATTGTTTTCGTTAAAACTTAGGGTTTGCGCTGAAAGCTCATGGCCATAAGCGTAGACAGACTTCTTGAAAAATATGTTATTCCGCCGTGTCTGTGCGACTTTTCGCTCTACTCGTCAGATAGACGTTCTTTTCCTGTCATTTATTACGTGATGTATATTTCAGTAATTGAAAAATTGTAACTTACTGTAATAAACATTGCAGTCGGCGGAGAAATATTTCCGGCTGATTAAGGAAGCTTCGCAGCTGGTAGCTGTCGTCTGTTCTTTACATATTCGGTTGTCGAAATACTGCATCGGTTGTCGTTCAGATTCAACATCGAACAACAACAGCATATTCCTTCTAAGCTATCTTTCGTGATGTGTGGTTTCGTTTCCTCATTCATGTCTTAGAGTTATTTACATGGGCCACGGTACCTTTGTATTTTAGCATCTGCAGTGCGTGGATGCATTTTATTTGTTTATCACTAATGGATTAGCGGCCATTCTCCTTATCTTTTTGCGTGACAAAAGTTTAGGCTTCTAGATTAAAATTAGTTAACGTCTCCACCGCAATTTTACAGCATGTGGCAGAGAATGAATGCTTACTAGGAGCATCTGAAAGTAATATTGCAGTGCCATACGCCGTGGAAGAGGACATGGAAAAGTTCCAGCTACACTGTGGAATGCACGCTGTGCCCCTCTGATCTGTTAGTGCATATATTTTGAAAGTTTCTGGAGTTGAACATATGCCTGAATTTCCGATTCTCTTAATTTAAAGTTGACTGCGGCTGTTGCTAGTACCGGTCTGTTACTTTGTCAAAGTAGCTTTCCTACTCTATAAGGAACAATACCCTTGGGTACTGTGGCCAAGAACGATTATCAGCTGTTCCCAGGAAAAGACCTGTGAAACTCAAGCAGAACAAATCGCCGGGTGAAAGTTTATCAGCTCCATGACTCTGTTGTTTTACTTTTGATTATTATACCTTTTCGTTTGTTGCATTTGCACTGTGGCTAGAGACGTACTGCCATGTGACTTCGTTCTAACTTATCATATTAGTATATATGCTTTTTGCTCTGTTTTTTAGATTAATGATATACATTTGTTTTTTTTTCAGACGAGGATGTTTTGGACACATGGTTTTCATCCGCGCTGTTTCCGTTTTCCGTTTTTGGTTGGCCTTCTCAAGTATGCAGTTATTAGACGTCTTCTGCAGATGGGCTAACGGATTGACTGATCGACTGAATTCGCTCGTGTTGCGTATCTCGTTACGCCCATAAGTTTGTTGGTCTTTGAAGGTCGGTCGAAACCATGCGCTGATCATTGACTTCATACTCATTTCTCGGTTAATTCCGTCGAATCGTAATGAAGTGAATCATTTGTTAAAGGGAATTGGACATGACTGAAAAAAATTTCACAGCGATTGAATTCGAATCCACATATCTACTGTGCAAATAGGGCGATGTCCATTTGCGCCACTATCTCCCCTCTTCTTCTGCTGTTGATACATGAAATGTCATTTGCATGCTGAAAGGTTCTTTATTGCCTTAAGCGCGAATATGCAATAGATCTAGTTGATCTGTTTAATCAAGGGTAGTATCTATCAGTCGTTCATGATAACTAGAAGTCTGCTTTCTATATAACCTTTATTTTTACACTATTTCTGCAAATATTTCACTTATAGACTCAAGATCTTAAAAACTTTTACCCCGGCAATCTATTGGAAACTGGATACGATATTCTATTTTTCTGGGTAGCGCGCATGGTGTTTTTCGGGCAAAAGCTGACTGGTCAGCTGCCATTCAAAGAAGTATGTTCAGTTAAAATCCTGGCATTATTATCATCGACAGCTGTTTAGGTTTATCTGCACTCGGTTGTACGCGATGCTCACGGCAGAAAAATGAGCAAATCTTTAGGAAACGTGATTGACCCGCTTGACGTGATTCGCGGTACTTCGCTTCTAGTGCGCCAGTCATGAACGAACGTAGTTACTGGCGATATCAGATAATATTTTATAGGAGCTGTTCAATAAGTTAGGATTCGGCAACCTCGATGCGAATGAAATTGCTCGAGCGGAAAAGGGACTACGACATGACTATCCTGACGGAATACCGGAGTGCGGTACCGACGCTTTACGATTCGCTCTCTGTGCCTATACCGGTCAAGGTAGAAAGTAGTGTTGAATACATCAGTTATCACGTTAGCGTCACACCCTCTTTTTCAGGTCGGGACGTGAATCTGGACGTGCTACGCGTAGAGGGCTATCGTCATTTCTGTAACAAGATCTGGAATGCGTTTAAGTTCACACTAATGACACTCGGGAATACCTTTATTCCGGTTGATCGTTTCCACGTTAGTTTTTGTTCTCTTAATTTAGTCATGATACACGAAATAGAGCGCACAATAGCACAGTTACAAGGTTGCAGTTTTATCTGCGGTGAACTTAACTACTAATTTTTCGAATACAACTGAAAAATAAAAAATTGAAAGATCAGATGATTATCATTTTAATTTACTGCTTTTTAATATTGGTATTCGTTGTTCTAGTATATATCTTTATAATACGGCCATTGGAAGAAATTCTGTAACATAGTAACTTTCCTGTTTCTTGAATTTGGTTTTATTGCCTAACGGACATAATAAACCAACTAATATTATCTTTCCACCCCGTCTGCATCTAGTCAATCTGCCTTTGTCGATTTTTTACGCATAAATGCTGATACTTAAGATCTATATTTCCGCGTTGGTTCTTCCTTTGGCTTCAGCTGATTAGTGCAAGAGATCAGTGTTACAGAAAAATTGGTTGTTCGTTCACCGTCATTGTGCCTTTTCTTGATCATGTGCCATTTTTATAATTTGCGTATGATTCGAAAATGTTTAACAGCTATAAAAGTATAACACCCGAATGTCCGATACTACGTAACTGCAAAAGTTCATTTCGATTCACCAAGAGATTTGTAAGAAAAATACCAATAGTGACGACTCAGTGGTATGAACCACAAAATGATTCAAGAAACTTTAACAGCAATGCTTCACATGCTTTGAATTTGACAGATTATTATATGTACTCATACTACGGATTTTACAAATGTTAGTTTTTCTCCGTTATCTAGGGTTTAACTGATTTCTGAAGTATTTACTTGTAGCTTTTTGGAGTCGAACGCGTTGTGGACCTGTGGATTCTGAGTCGTCTAAGTGCTTGCGTCAAAGCTGCCGATGAAGGATTTTCGCAATATGATTTCAGCAAGGTTACCACAGCGTGCTTCAGCTTTTGGCTTTACGAATTTTGTGATGTCTACTTGGTAATTAATTACTGCTTGAGGTTTGGTGTCGCGTAGCAACCATTTTGCATAGGAAAGCGTCAAGCCAGTAATGCAGTGCGGTGACGACTTGTTGATAGACTGTTGCCGTCAAATCCTCTATTTTGTAATGGACACCGCTCTCCGACTCATATCGCCGTTCATGCCATTCATCACTGAAGAATTATGGCAACGTTTGCCATCGTTAGCTCATGTTCAACGATCCGAAAGCATCTGCGTCGCGAAATATCCGACACCGAAAGAGGTATGTTATAGCGGCCGAAATTAGTTGATTATAAAATGTTTATCGTGTTGTTGTTTGTCATTTCTAGTATTGCTGGGAGAACGTCGATGCCGAACGTCAAATCAGCCTCGCCATGTCAATTGTCAGATCAACGAGGGCTGTTAGAGCGGATTACAATCTGACCCCGAAGGTCAGAACCAAACGTACTTTTATTAATTTTTAATGGGTTAATTTAAGATGATTATGGCGCGTTTTTTTTCAGTGTTCATTACGCCAGTAGACGACGCGGTTGCCGATGATATTCGGCAGTGTGAAGACCTTATTGCTACTCTGTCCTTGTCTAGCAATGTAGAACAGCTGTCGAGCACTATCTTTCCTGCGGGATGCGCCACTTACCCAATCGGTAGCAAGTGCAACATTCACGTTCTTCTGCAGGTATGTAAAACTGGCCGTTGTAAGTCATTTTATTGTTTACATCGAAATTATATAATTATCAGTAAGCGTTGTGATGAACCTAAATATCAAAATTTCATACTAGGTGTATGATGAGTATCACACTAACTGTGCATGTTGCTTAATTAGACAAGTCGGA